CCCGGCATCGAGCACAGCGTGACCACAGCGACTGATTTTTGCACAGACTTGACACCGAGGATGAGAAGTGGTACTTTTACGTCAGCATGGACCAAAAATTGAAAATTGGGTAGCTCCACGAGAGAATCAAAGACCCAGAATCTAACCAGATTTTAATTTTGAAAAAAGTTATGCTTTGCGGTGTATTTGCAAGAACCTGATTTAATGGTTATAACAGAGCGGACCATTGATCGGCACACTTATTTGGTGCAATGCCATTGAGTCGATCAGACTATTTGTTAGAAAAACGAGGCCAGGCCATTCTGCTCTTCGATAACGCGAGACTACCAACGGAGAGTATCGTCAAACCTGCCCTATTATATTCTCAATTTTTTCCCGGCCTTGTACCATAAACAGAACGTATTTGGAAAACTTCTCCGACACTAAATTTGCAACCTTTTGACGAGACGGCATACATCATTTGATGAAAGGATGGGAGAAAGTCATAAACAATGACCGAGGATATAATAACTTCTACGTGTCCTTTGGCCTGCCAAATATGAATGCTCGTTCTCCACGGACACTGCTTATGCCATTTGGTCATTTTAGATCGAATGATATAATACAGGTCATAACAAGTGTATGTGTGGCACCATGATGTTACAGAAGGGAGTTAAATGCATACAATGAAAATACGGAAAGTTACCTGCAGTAACTGAAGCTTTCCTGTAGCTGAGCAATTAGATCTCGGAAAGTTATCGACTCGTCTAGATATAATTGTTGCGGCAGATTTACAATGGGGGCACGATAAAGAGGGCCGAAAAATAAAATGGTAATAATAATAATAATGATATGTTTCAGTTTTGCTTTTGTGATGCAAAGATTCACTAAGGCAGAATAACGCTGTGTTGGCGGTCGCAGAAGGCACGGTAGAAGAGTGTCTATGAACAGAGAAGAGTGCAGCCACGTAAAAGGTGTCCATTTCTTTTAGCTTAAACTCGACGGCCGAGCGTTGTACTATGATAGGCCGTATCAATTATCTGCAGAAATTTTTCTCCCAATCCCTCTCATTCAGAAAAACCGAGAGGGAAAGAACGAGAGAGAGAAAGGGAAAGAGGGGGGCAATCGCATCTAGAAAGCGTCATATTTGACAGAGTCGAGTGGAGTGCAGTTAGGTTGCCATGGTATCAAGTGTGATATCGCTCAAAGTCTATGTCACGACTATTATATCCGCTGATTTCCTCAAGGCCACGAAAAAAGGTGAAATCGTAAAGCAGATTTGGTGTGATACTTTATTCCCGTTACACCTTCAATTCCACAGTACGGGTCCTTAACGATGCAAATCTGTCATGTGATATTTTGTCAAATCCTGAAAGGTCTACTGTGTATTATTTGTGACTGATCGAACTAACAATCATCATACAAGTATATATATTCACGTGGTTAACTAAGCTCGCTCGCTCGTTTTTAAAAGAAGTTCTCTTGTGTCGTTTTTGGTCTATGATTTAAAGATACCAACTTTATTTGTTATCATATTATTGTCATATAAATCATATTATTTTGATCTTTAGGAAAGAACACTGCCTAAATTTCCTAGAGAGCGCATTACATTTTTTTCACATGTGGCAAAACCTTTTGACCTGTTAATAGGCACACTTTAATTGCTACTCGACGCACTTATAAGCAATCCTCTCTTTGCTGATTATTATTATTATTTACTACACATGTACACATTGTGACTGGTGTACGTAATATCGCACTCACACACAGTACACATATAGTCCTCCTTTCCCCTATACGATGATGTGAGACAGAATTTCTCTTGAATAACACCATATGGTGAATATCTATATGAATGGAACAGAGAACACCTTCCCTCTGACGCTGAACATGTCGTAGATTTTAGACATTATCTTTACTGAAATTGACCTCTCTTCATCGTTTTCTAAGATCAGTAAATGTATGTAATAAATACAGGCTATCCAACATCATTAGGGTATACGTTACGGAACGGGCATGAATGTCATAGGGGGCATCAAAATACGACGAATTACTACAGGGAAATGAGATGACGAGGACGACGGCTACGACTACGAGAGAATTTGTGATTCGGCGTAAACTGGGGAATTGGCAGCGAATGGTCCCCGTCGGCGCGAGGCTGCGAATGGGGAGTGGAGAAACCTCGAGATGACAGTCAACTCCCGATGGGCCGATGGGACAGCCGATCCTCAGACCAGTCTCCGATGGAAGCGCCATGCTGTGGATGGGCCTGGCATAGAAAAAGTTAGGGGGGCAGAGGCAGAGAGGGGTCTAGAAAAGGGGCAAAGGAAATCGGGAGAGACGACGACGACGACGTGACGGCTATCGAGGAATACGAAACCGCCAAGTGCCTGCCGCCTGTCTGACTGCACCCTGCTGCCGCCTATTTCCATCTCCATACAGAAGATAACGCGAAAGACACCACCGAGATCCCTAGCTCAAAGATCGGCAGACCAGCCACAGTAACGGGTCGCCCTTCTATTACCACTACCCCCAACAGTAGAAACAGCAGCAGCGCGGCGGAGAAGAAGTCACGTGTGGCAGGAAGGGATATATCTGGGTGAACAAGGGGTAGACCGAAAGAGGAACAAAAAAGGGGTCGAAATCTGGCAAGGACTGCGGCGGCCTGCGTCTCCAGGAGAGACGGGTACAAGAGGGAGAAGGATAGTAAAATGGGGCATAGAGAAGGGGGTTGCGATCGGTATAAGATAGACGTGTCGCACAGAGGAGCGGGAGCAAGGGAGGTAACAGACAAACGCCGTGCACAGAGGTAGGTGTAGGGAATTAGCAAATGCACCAAAGGGAAAAGGCGGCAAAAAGATGAAGGGGAAGAAGGAAGGGAAATAGAAGAAAAAAAAGGCCTCTTCTTCCTTCTTCTTATTTTTTCTTCGTTTTCCTCAACCTCTTTTTCTTCCTCTACATCTTCGTCTCCTTTTTTCTTCTGTTCCCACTGCATAGTTCGGAAGCCCCTTATTTTCTTTGTTCCCATGTACGCGCATACTCGTATATCTTCCTTCTTCGTATGTTTTTTCGTTTTCTATCGGGAAATTTGTATAATTGTGCCTATCCTTATTCAAGATAGAGAAATGTCTACACACGAAACGTCAAAGACACACATATGCGTTTACAATGTTGTTTTTAGCGCATCCATTATAGCATTGCATATACGTAAAATAAACACGAATCAGACAATCGACAAGAATTGGTATAATAATATTCATGTTGTGTCGTGAGCCCTTTATCATTGGAAAGGGGTACGCAACAATCAGAAGCCAAGGGCACGGGCATGGTGGCTCTGACGCTGCTGTTTTCCCTCGGAGTCTTCTCCTCTTAATCCACAATTAGTAGTAGTGGCATAGTCAGTATTGAGTTATCAGTTACACTGATTACTTTGCAACAACAACGAGCGATTTAAAAAATCAAATACAGTATGCAGAATCATGCATCGTACGAGTGAAGAAAAAGTATTGCAGGATTTGACTATTGTATGTTAGCATAAACACAACGGCACAAATGAAGAACTTAAAGTACGAGACAAATGAAGTAAGACCGCGAACAGTAACGGTTGTAGTCTTCAAAAATGGAGAATAATAAAAATGAGTGCAAAGGTTGGGTGGACTATTCATTAGCAGATCATTCAGGTGAAATGTACATGCACCGATCGCAAGTAAAAATTACTAATCTTGGTGTAAATAATCACTAGATGATACCGATGATATTTTTTTTTTATTAATTGTCTGTTTTTCTTTTAATTGAAAAAAAGGTACTTGAATATTATAGTTGAAGAAATCCCCCATTTTGACTCTAAAAACTCGTCTAACTTATTGTAAAGTTACCTAAAGTAAAAACACATCGGATTTAACTAAATAGTACTTTGAAATAGAATACGTTTCGGCTATAAAAATTGTTCACGAAATAAAAATAAATTATTTGTGTGTAGCTTAAAGCACAACTATTAATGTCAATACTAGAGTCAGCAAATCAGCGATTGTTGGTTTAAAGGCAGAATTAGAGGGCCATAGGCTACATAGAGATACCCGAGCGAGGAAACTAAGTGGAATCACCTGGGGAGAAGATTCATAGGAATCGGAAGAAATGACAACTAAACAGCTTGTTCATCACAAAGCAAAGGGACCATTGTATACGAGAGAGGTTTTAGCCTTCGTGATAGGTTTTAAACGTTGCACGACGCGGTGCAAGTTCATATGTGTCACATAGCTTATATAGGCTGCATCTCTGAAAAGATGGAGGGCAAGCGGAGAAGGAACTTAATAAAGACGAGACAACAAATGCAGGCAGAATATGAATTTGTAATCAGTCAACAACCTTGTCGTCGCAATGACTCGTAATATTTGGCTCTATAACGGTTAACAATAAGATATACATGCAAAAATCCTAGCGTCATAATATTTTGACACGACGACATCGTATACTGATACACACATATCCTAACTGGAACTGCAAAATAAGCAAAAACACAAATAGGATATATAAGCAAATATTTATGGAAAACGTAAGACAGCCCTTTAGCGTTTTGATAGATAGTATGTTAGATCGAAGGACACGGCGGACCGATTCAGTCAAACCAGTTCCATTATCTTTTATCTACCAAAACACTTGTGCTACATGAGATAAAAACAAAAGATATTCAAATGTCAAACCATGTGTTTTCTGTTTGGGAAGCACACGAATGTGTAAGAAACAATTACAAAATGTAAACATGATAAGTACAACCCTGAAGGGAATCTTACTACTACGATCGCCTCGTACAAATTTATTCGGTGTAACTGTTATGTATGAAACAGTCAACAGACTTTTCAGCAGAGCTACCATGTTGCATTACAAGCCATACCTTTGGAGCACGTTAAAGAATGATGCTTTTTCAAGGAAGTGATCATTATTATGACATTTTAATTAGTGCTTCAGCTAACCCGTGTGTTTCTATATTTGTCTTTCATCAATTCATTATTGGGCGTAAGTAGTAAGTCGCAGGAATGCCAGTATGTGGCGACGCAGCGCGGGGGCATGGCGCTGCTGTTCGAGGGCCACCGGTACAACAAGGTGCGCGATGGTCGCGAGGGCACCGTCTACTGGAGGTGCGCCAGGTTAGTGGGAAAAGGCCTTACTCATACTGACTATACCATTCTCTTCGGTTTACATATTTCAGTTCGCTTAAAGATGGCCAGGTATAATTATAAATCTTGAACTGTATTATTATATGCAAACACGAGCCTCTGCAGCTTCTTATATTTTCTGAGCTAGTCAATGGTTTTCATCATTTGAACTCGTTATCAAATTCTTGCAAGCCGTATGTCACTGCAATAATTATACTCCCGGGGAGCTCTTGGGGGAGCCTAGCAGCTCTTTGATCCTGCTACTGATTAGTCAACATTTAAATTGAAATATATTTTATATAATGAAATTACTTTTAGAAAAATAGTTAGCGTCGTCTGTGCTCTAAGCTCGGGTATAATTACCAGAAATGCCATCCTCAGATTTATGATGTTTGTTTTGATTCGATTTTGCAGAGACCGACAATGCCCGGGCCGCGCGGTAACGGTGTACTCGAGGATCAAAAAGGCCAATAACAAGCATAATCATCCACCAGACTCGTGGCGAGGTCCGGGCCAAGGGGGCAGCAGTCCTTCCAGTCACGCCTCCAATAATGTCGCCTGCAACAATAGCACGACTGCCAACAATAATCTCAACAGCAACAAGAACAACAACAACAACAACAATAATAACAATCATAATAATAACCATAATAATATTAATAACAACAACAGCCAAAGCAACAGCCATTCGTCCAACAGCAATCACCATCACCACCACCACCATCACAGCCATACTAACAACAACAACAACAACCACAACAACCACAACAACAACAACAACAACAACAACACCAACAACAACAACAACAACAACAACAACAACAACAACAATGGAGCAGCACCGGAGCTGACGCAGCTTGGCGGGCCGGAACAGGTCAGTAGTAGATGTGCGCAAACCCACAACTGTCTACACAAACAACGACCCAGACAGAGACATGATGTATGAGCCTCTGATTAGTGACTAGGGCTTTATGGTCTCACGCTGTAGCGGCTGGAACACACAACGTATTGTCACTGTTGTTTAGTTTGTTACACGCTTGTTGTCACGATTTATTCGTCAACTGACTTGTCACCTGACTGAGTTTTTTTAAGGCATGACGTAGGAGCAGACACACATGCCCCCGTCGAATGATTGTACAGAAAAGTGCATTTTGAAGCATTTAGCCTATGCATACATCAGGCTATAGTTTTCTGTAGAAAATACTCTAGCTCACTGGAGCTTAAAATATCAGAAACGAAAAGAGTTCAGGACTTCGAGCATGACTTCAGTTTATGCAAATGCACATCTTTCCCATTTATGACCCTAGTCAAATAACTTGCAAATGTGCACGGTTTCACATCATCTAAATGCTTAATGCCAACCAGCGGCAAAACAAGTTATGTCCGAGGTAAGTATGCGCAATTTAATGGAAAATTGGCGATAGCAAATTTTCGAATAAACGCCTATCAAGTTATTAATTAGCAGCAACGTTTGTGCCGTCGCCAGGTTAAGGCTAGAATTTTTACGCTAGTTGCGTCAAAGAGGTACACGATGCGCGAACTCTTTAATAGCTCTTCTAATTATGATTTCATAAAAGGCACCCGTTTAGAATGCCATTGCTTCCAAAGCAGGACGACGATTACAAAAACTGATTCAGAATTGCTATGACGTTTTTACTCTAAAAGAGCTTACTCATTGGAAAGGACTCCATCAGTTAAAGTCGCTCTGAAGAGTCTCATGTAAGAAGCATCAGTGAAGATCCTTCGCGATATTTATTACCCCTCGTTCTTCTTGAACTTCCTGTGCCACCTTTACATGATGAATCAACAGTGACAAGCTGTCTCTCTTTTCCTGCTGTCCCAAGCTAAAGTTCAAGACCGATTGGAGGTTTATAAAAATGCTACTCAATGTCTGGAAAAACAGAATGCTTTGTTCCGTATAGAATGCATGCAGCGAGCATTCACGATGTCACTGCTCAAACGATCCCGGCCAGCTTGCTAATGTCAGAACAGGTGGAAAAAAACAAAAAAATGAGCCTTTGTCAAACGGATTGGACGCCCAGAAAATGCAAGGAACATGGAGCGACTAAGAGTGGGTCGACGTTCACAGTCTTGCCCTGTTCAGGACAAAGCTCTTTAATATGTGCGTCATATAGTCGTGTGGATCGTGATTGAGTATTGACCACTTCTGCAGGATTTTTATGAAGTCCTTTTCTTAAATAACGTGGAGCAGTTCAACCTTCCTGTGTTGTGTCTTTTGGTTACGACAAATCACATCAGCTCATGGGTATGATGGCGTGTACAGAACTGCCAGATTACATGTTCTGAATATTTAAACTGTTTTGTTGGTTTTTTGGTAGTCAACAAGTTGAATACTCAAATTGCCATTTTTACTAAAATATCAAGCAAAAGCTAGTTTTCTTGAATCCGAATCAATCCTAGCTATATTCCTATATTTCCCGTAAATATCCTCCCTGATCGCTTATTTACAGAAATATGTACTAAGTTTCCTAAGCTGACCTTCGCTATATGATAGTGCTCAATCCCATGGTTTCAAAAAAAGGAGCGGCCTCGAGGTCATTTCGAGAGAATATTTTTCGACGTATTCTGGTTATGATTCGGGTGTTCGATAAGGTAACCTTTTCTACCGTTTCGCCATCTCTAAATATCAATTTCTCCTTAATTCCTTTTTTAGCAATTTGCTTTGGACTTTAGCAACTTCCTGTTTATGGTTTTGTGCTTCTAATATTCGATATAAAGCGAACAAAAAGCAGTTACTTTTGAATAAGATCTGAATGGCATTATGCCATTTATGGTTAAACGGTGATTACCACACAACAGATATTTAATGCATTCGATAACATATGCTTCAGAGAATTCTTAGCTCAAAATAGACAGTGTCCTGCAAGTCCAACGCAAGAACGATACCCTGCAAATTGCATGCTCTAATAATACCGGCCCAATATCGGCACAATGATATGCTTCACAACTTTTTTTCAATAAGGAACGACTTAATTGATCTACGGGTTACTAATACGGATAATTGAGTTATTCGTGTCATTATTATTATTATCAGCCGCTGGACCTGAAGATGCTCTCGGCGCTGGGGATGGGAGGCGGAAGAACAGGGCGATCGAGCAGCCCCTCTGAGGCGCTGACTCCTGCCGCCGCCATAGCCCAGCTCGGCCATTTGCCCACCCTGTTCACCGAGACCCTCAAGTACCTCGCCTCCTCGCACGCACAACAACAGCAACATCAAATACAAAATAACCATCAAACTCAACAGCAGCACAGCAGCCCGAGCAATTCGATCGCTAACGGTACGTACGGTTGCAACTCTGAACCGAACTCTTGACCATATTTCGCAGGACTGAAGTGGAAACTACTGAACAGATTAGGGAAAGTTACGAAATAATGCTTAGGTTCTCGGTTTTCGTGTGCATAACTCCAGTTTCTCTCAACTTACTTGTTTTCGCAAACAGCATTGAACAACGCACTGAACAGTCCCGTGTTCAATCTTCCCGTGTTTCCGACGCCACTGAAAAGCAAAAGCCCTCAACGACCGAGCAATGGGGGAGCCGCGGGGAGCGGCAGTGGAGGTGGACTTCCCGCACTTATCAGCCACCTTCGGGACTCCTTCAGGCAACAACAGCAGCAACCGGATACAGAAAGTCACTGGTGGATGATCAATGCTGCTGCCAACGGTTAGTAAACCTAATTTCATAGTAGCGCGTTGCTTACTATATCCCGTTTAACCGGCCGTTTCTGTTTAGTAGCAACTGATGTGTCTGAAAAAATCGACCTTAATTGCTACACCAGTTACCAATGGTGCTTATGTAAAGTACGGTTATTACTATTATAAATTATGGACAAGGAAACGTAAACGATTTCCGAGATGAACAGAGCAGGCTGTAGTAAAATGAGTAAAATTTGGACTCGAGTTTATACCTGTGGTTTGATTTCGTTCGAGTGGGGAAGAAAAACAACTTTCGCAACATGTAACATCGGGCCTACAATGTAAGGTCCCTACAGTGACAGGAGAATACAAGCGAAGATGGAACGAACGAATGGGGGTTTGCATATCGTCGAGGTGGAGATTAAATCGTAGTAACCTCATTCAGCCACTCGTCGTTGTCACTCACTACGTCCGAGCCTCCCCTTTTGTATCCCATTCACCGTCGTATGCCCAACAAGTTATCCTTTACCCAACCTAGCGTACCCCCCTCACTGTTTCGTTCTCCCACTTCTCTACTCTTGAATCAACCGAGAGTAATTCCTCTACTCGTCAACGGGACTTCGAACCGAACTAGTTGTGGCAATACCCCATCTCGCTGCGTGCGTGCTATGGCTATGAAATACGCATGCTTTGCCGTAGCCAAGCAGTTGGCTCGGCAATCGGGGGCTGGTTCCCCCGTGGAACTAAGTATTGAAGCAGTAGTGGCACCGCGGTACCTAGTTTCAGTCCCAGTCGTTTCCCTTCATTTCCCGATCCCCCCTTTTTGTTACACTACTGCTGATGCTGCTGCTCCTCAGGAAGACGACTTCGGGCCACAGAGCGAATAGAAAGAGTTTGCATGGGACGTTGAAGGAGCCAATGAGTAGAGGAGAGAGGCATTTTCTCCTACATCGACGAGGAATTGCCGTTCTTCGTCGACCAACGATCCGTAGCGACGCCACTTGAGTTGAAAAAAGAACGCTGCTACCGCTGATGGCAACAACAAAAAAATGCCGCCGCTCCTTCTCGTCCTCCTTCTCAATGAGACAGACCGACCGAGTGGCGAGAAGGAAAGAACAACACAGGCATATTGGGGCATGCATCCAACTAAGCTGGGAGTGAGTGTGGCGGGCGACTTGAATTGCGCTCGACGGCGCGTTCTCTCACTGCGGCCCCCTTATTTCATCTTATTCCTATCCTATTCTACCCACATTCCCGCTTGCCGTTATCCTGTCTTATTTCTCGACTCGTTTTTTCATTCTACGAGACTCGTCTCTACGTTGTCGACTTAGCGGCAGCGACTGCTGGAGTTCAGAGGCGGAGTGCGTTGCCGACGACTCAAAAAGAAATCAAAACGGAAAATCCTGCACCCCTACGCTCTTACCCTCGTTACCCCTTTGGCACTTCTCCGTCCGCGTACCTCGCCTGTCGTTATCCAGCTACGGCCCCGCTGTTCCCTAAAAATCAAACCAGGCATTGGACTGTTATAACGGACGGTTGGGGGCTCGCACGGAATGGTTCGCTCTGCGCCGAATTTCCTACGAAGTCGGTATTCTTCGACCTACGCTATAGATGCCCGTGAAAGTCGTGTGCATTCTTAGCCTCAACATCAGCTCTCATTTTGGCGACAGATTGACGTTAAGAAGGGAAGCACGTAGTACGTCTTTTTTGATGCGCACACACTTCATGCAGAGGCACACGCAGATAGCCACTCGTCGGAGCTGTGAGGGTTATGCTAAGACCATCCGGAGCAGACGGCAATATGGGAAGCGTCACTCCTACAAAGATGCCGTTCTCTTTAAAAAATTGACTACGTGTGCAGACTGTAATTATGTGAGTAAATGCTAAGAGATACGCTTCAAAAAACAGTATTTTATTAAAAACCGAAATGCATCCATTTCATAACTATTCTATCGCCGTATTTGAAAGCAATCAATCCATGACGGAGTGGTAATGACTTGAGCGCCAAAGGAAATGGGCAAAATGTAAATCGTACAGATGCTGTCATAGTCCGCAACAGTGTCAAAAGCCGATATACTAATTAACTGATAAAGTACAAGCAAATACTTTACCGCAAGAATCATGATCGGTCCACGATGTCGTCTAACCTCCTAAAGAAACCCGTTCTTTTTATCACCGATGTATTTTAAATAGACATTGGTTATTTTATGCCGTGGTTCAACCGGTCACGAATACATAAGGAATATTATTTAGCTTCACATCAAGCCTAAATTTACATTATATATCGTGTGGGTCCAGTTATTTTCTAAACTAACCCATCTCGTCGGTCAAAAATTAGGTGCCCTATTTGTCTCGCACTGCAGTGGAGAATAGTGCTTTAAGTCGGTCTAGGGCAAATCCCACCAAATAACGTGGTGCAATATACGCACTTTTACCTATATGTATGGCTTCAAACACTAAATATTTACATTAAACGGGCAGGTTTCTCTCCACTGCAAATGAAAGGTACGTCTGCTGATCTATAAGACGTTGCATTGATATACATCATAGCTCAAAAGTATGAGTTAAACGATCTTCGGATTGATACAGCGCACACATGTGTAATAGCTATTATTATCACATTATCCCTATTCTATATACGATATTTAAGCATCCGTTTCTAATCTTTTGTTCTAGCATTTTCACAACTTGTACAAGCAGTCATATTCAAACAAAAGGCGGAACATGTCGTCTTCGAAATTCGTCAGATCTTGATTGCTTTGATTTGAGCTTAAACACATCTTTCGAGTTTTACGTCCATTGACGGCCGGCTATGAGTACGAAACGAAGCTTGTCTGGTTTTAAACATAGACTACCTAGAACCTAGAAAGTGTCTGCACTATTGTGGGGATGATCCCAACCTGCCCTTCGATGTTTATTTGTCCACGATGCGTACCACTGCAGCTGGATTGCCGCTTTTATCCCTTGGAATAAGTTTTCTCTATATCTATATAACCATAACTGAACTCAATCGCAGTATTTTGAACGACAATGGCATGTTAAACTATTGTTCGAACAGAGAATGCTTTCTTAACTTAAGCTTAACTGGTTAGCTTGCGGTCCTCTTCTGTATTTCCAAAAAGTGACTATACTTTAGAGACTTGAGCTAATGTGCGTTAATCCATTGCGTTTTCGGCGCACGCAAAATTCTAGGGGTTCAAATTTATTTTTTCAGTTTTTAGTGTTATAACCTTCCAAGTTGCTTGGATAAACAACTTAACAGTGACGTTGCCAAGTTTCACCTTGTATATTCTTTTTACTTGCATATGTAGTAAACGTTCATCGTTTACAATATCAGTTACGTAATTCACCGTCGTAACGCTTGCACCCAACAGAAGAGCTAATCAAAAAGGAAAGGAAGACTCTGCTTAGCTATTTAAGTTCTTTGTGTTCATTCAATGCTGATTTTCTATGCCGGAAGTGGAGAGCGACAACTAACTTTGCTATTGGGGTCTGTCATACTTGGCTCTGAAATGATCGATGGAACTGCCGCAAGCCCCTCTTCTGTTTGAGCCGTAACTAAAGAACGCAAAACTATTTAATGGTGCTTCTTTAAATGAAAGCAAGCGGAGCCACAGGTACAGATGAAACAATTCAGTTTTTTTTTAATTTATCTTTACTCTTACCGTTACTGTTGCAGCTATTCTAGCAATCTACCAGCGTGAATTGAAACAACAAAATATCTATACAACGAGAATTGACACTCTTATTGTTAGGCCCAGAAGCCTTCACTGATAGAAACTGCTTTTTTGGAAAGCTTAATTTCGCTATCGGTATCGGCAAGAACGTCTATGCACTGAAGTCATGCACATAAATCTGCACGACATCGCCATTCATTCTCATTCAATAAGAGAGGAAAGAGGAAACTACATAGAATTATTGATCAAAACGTTGCCCAGTTTTACTTTGTCCCGTGTAGGTTACGAATCAATAAACGGACGTTCTATTTATCATTTGATTCTCATGTGTGTTGACGCTACCACTCTTATGAGCACATGTGTGCAGAAATCGTATTCTATCAAAGGTATGTAGTAGGCGTAGCCTACGACAAAACACAAGAATAAGAAATCAAAGAGTTCACAGTATAGGATGGCTTTCTTTAAGGTTTTGTGTTTGAGTCGAAAGCCCTTGGTGCTAATTTTGCCGTTAGCGTAGTAGAGTTAGTTGATTCAATATGAATGGTTGTGAAATGGGTATGACGCTAAGCCATTTCAGATTAGGACAATGCACTAGTAGTCAAAATGGTGTTTATACAAAGCTTTGCTTCCGTATATGTGTGTGAAAAATAGAAGCACAAAAACTGACAAGAAGCAACCGAACCAGCAATGGAAAAACGAATACACAGAACTCAACAGTGGATTAAGATTGGTCAGTGAGAACGTCCGAGCTGAAGGCATCGGTGGACGACTAAAACCGGGCAGCGGGCTGGTAGGGGACTATAAGCTCTACAGGGGCGGACCTACAATAGAGAAATTCGAAGATTACAAGTCATTTCGCCATAGAAAAAGACGCTGGTGCAAAGAGCTGTCTGCAGATGGACTGACGAAAAAAAGGCTTGTGGACTTAGACTTACGGACCCTTTATTCACATAGCAAGCGCGGACGTGTCGCCTTTAAGAGACGACGAGTAGCAAGCGGATACGCTTGAGTTAGTGCTTCAAGCAAGCGACAAATACACGAGCGGGAAATGGCTGCTGCCATCAGCGGCAGCAGTAGGAGCGGATAGAGGCAAGTTTAGATTCGTTTCATGTCATCATTATCATAGAGGATAGCCAAGCAAGATAGGCTTTGTGAAGCCCACTAAACCCTTTTTCCGTTGACACCACTTGAGAAATAAGGCCAGCTCCTAAAGACTGTGCCGAAGGTTTCACTGTTCGCACGTAGGGAATTGAGAATCCAAAGAAGGATTATCACCTCCATACCCCTCCCTATGACCAAATCAAGGAAAATGAAAGCGGAAAGGAAACGTATTAGCGATGTCAGAACGTTA